CTTCACTGAGTTACGCAAGCCCCTTCGCCACGACAAGGCAGTGATCCATGAAGGGGTAACTTTAATTAAGATTATTTTAATAAATGAAACAGGAAAATAGTCCTTGAAATGAGCACTTTAATTACCTGTATTTACCTCTCTACATAATCATCACCACTTGCTACACACTTCTGTGAATGATGGACAAGCTTCTTAAAAGCCATCACAAAATAACTCCAACTGTCTCTTTAACCAGGACTTGGCAGTCCTTTCCATATCTTCATTTGAGTCAAACAGATGCTAATGAAGGGAAAATTTTGGGAAAAGGTGGAAGATGCATGGCACCAAAACTGGACTTTATGGTAGATAGGGTAAGACACTGAGTTCCAACTTTGCAATTGCCTCTTGGGTAGCTCATGAGGTCCAGCATTGTCATATTACAGCACAATTTCCTTCTTGCACTTCTAAACTCTGCTTAGAAGTTGTTCCAAAGTTTTGAGTGTTGCAATATATCACTCTCAGTTGATACTGGTGCAGGTTCAAGGAAATCCATGTGAAAAATACCATCTGCATCCCAAAAAACAATAACCATGAGTTTTCCTGCTGAAGCCTGGGTTTTGAATTTTTTTCCCCCCATGGGTGAAGTTTTGTGATAATATTCCACGGCCTGATGCCTTACTTCTGGATCATAATGATGAGCCTGTGTTTCATTGGCTATCACAGTGCTATAAAGAAATTCCTCATTTTGATTCTTGGAGCATAACAACAATTGCTCGCAAATTGCAACTCTTGAAATTTTCATCTCAGCCATTAGTGTGTAAAGAACTCATTTTGCACGAACTTTTTGATATTGAAGAACCTCAGTAAAGTGACCTACACATTCCTGTGAAATATCAAGCTGGACAGCAATTTCCCTTTGAGTGATCTATCAATTGTCTTTAATCAGTTCATCAATCGTTCTCATGTGAAACCTGTCAGTTGCTATCACAGGTCATCCACTTCATTCTTAAACACACAAATAAGCTTTTCCCAGTTCACCATCTTTACATTTTTTGGCCCAACATGCACAGTATTCGCATCAACACAATCAGTGCTATAAACAACCTGCATTTGTCAGTGAATTTCAATCAAAGAGACATTTTCAGCAGTCAAAAAAATCTATCACGGCACCTTGCTTAAAGCTTATTTGTGAGTATTCACTGCAGGCTTCCATTTCTCAAACAGCAGCAACACAACCTTTTCTCATAGCAACTTCCCACCAGAACAGAACATGCTACAGAACACCATAGAGTTTCTAGTGCATCAGTCCTGCCATCTATTGACAACTTATAACATTGGAGGCATTACTTCTTATTCAATCCTCATAGTTCACTCAGTGACCTTAAATTGGTCATTCTAAAATTACTTGGCAGGGTGTGAGGAATGAGAACTATATATAATGCACTGAGGGGCATGTTTCTGCCAAAGTAAGGAAGAGAACACCACTGGGCTATGTACTAAGATATCCACATATGAACTTGTCCAAGGGAAGATTGTATTCATATCTGGCAGCATTTGGAGTATTGCTTTCTGTACAGAAGATTCCCCCAACCTGATTTCCTTCACTACAATTCCCAATGCCTTTGACCAAACTTACAACGCCCACTTATTTTGGAGGCTAAGCTGTGAAAGACAAATATGAATATGAATTAATTTCCCCTCTCCCACCCATTCTTACGTCGTTCCTGCACTGGTCACTGACTGTAATAAAGTTTGTCCTGTTCTGTTCTATTTCTATGTCATTTTTAATTCATGACACAGAAACCTCCATTATACATGCTGAAATGCTGAAAGAAATGATGTGCAAAAAATTATCTTGCATTTTTTTCTACCAGTTCTCATCCAGCCTGTTTGAAGATCTTTTGGAATTTCTTTGCGACATTCTCTTGGATGGAATATGGTGTTTTTGCACTTATTTAGTTATAAGGCAGCTAAAGAGTAGGTATGGATGTCTTGTCTTCCTACAATCCTCTCTCTACAGCAGTCTGCAGTCTCCCTGGCTGACAAAGTTTCTGCTAAGTCCCCATGGAAACTTCATGAGAGAACTTCTCCCTTTGGGTTTCCAGCCAGGGAGGCTGAGGAGTGATAGGAAAATGAGTAGTAGAAAACAAGTAACAGCAGCCTCTGGCTCTTCCCACAAATATACTTGTGGGAAGGGAAATCAAAATAAATGATCAAGCATAAGAATAAAGAACTTTCTTTTGTAAACAAAGAGGCAGAAATAAGATAGGCAGAGCTGATAACTAATAAAAGGGACCATAAGCAAAATCTCAGCCTTGGGAAAGTAGTAAGTGTGATGTAAACTTAGAGAGAGAAGATAACATATAAATGCATTTATAACTGCTGTAAAGGTGAAGGCATTCCTTCACATCTTTTTTTCTTTTCTGTTTCCTTCTTTTTTGTCTTTTTTAAAAATTTCCTTATTTCCTTATCACTTTTTTTACTTTACTTTTACTTCCATTTTTTAAAAAAAATTGTATTTTTTTTATTCTGTAAAAAACTTCTTTACTTTCTTCCATTTTTTAAAAAAAATTGTATTTTTTTTATTCTGTAAAAAACTTCTCTACTAAAAATTAATTTAAAAAAAGGAAAATAGTAGTCTAAGAAGGAGACTTAAAATAATCCCATCTTGATCCTCGCTGGTATAAAAGAGGGCAGAGGGAAACTCTGGAGGCTGTCAAGATTCTGTTATCATACCCTATAACAATAACGTAGAGAACCAGGAGTCCTTGTGGAGTCTGTTTCTCACCTGGACTATCTTAAGGGGCTGACAACACAGACAAGAACAGATTTAGAACAACCATGAAAACCATGGTGTCAGTAGTCTATAATGCAGTACAGATATAATACAAACCTCTTTTTGTTGTCTTTCCAAAGGGCCCTTTGCCATCGCTTCCAGCTCAAATAGAAAGCTAGATTCTGAAGTGCCTCGAAAACTTTCAACCATTTTCACAGAAAAGACATACATGGCTGAATACTCCGTGTACAAAGGAACTTTTCCTTTTGTTTTCTATCCCTTCCTTTTTTGCACACTTACTCTTAGTTGAAAGAGTACTCTTGAAAACACAAAATAACTCCACCCAGGGGCATGTATGGGGGAGGGTGTCAATGACATCAAAATAGTAGACACAACCAGGCAATCAAAGTGCCAACACTGTACACACATAAAAAGGGGCAGAGTTTTGATCACTTGGTCGCTCCTGCCATTGTGACATCATTGCCTCCTCTGCAGACACCCCTGCTTCTGTCACCACTAATATCTCTATGCGCATAACATTTCTTTTTAAAAGTGGCTCACTAGAACAAGGGCAGAAAGATCACTTGGGGGGGGGCTTTTTGGTTACCTAAATTAATTAAGAACAGCCTCTTAACTAAAATGGAAGAGCTGCCCCTAATAAGTCATGCAATGTTAAACTTACTGCTGGAGCACCACAATCACATTCTTCCCCAGTTTCAACAAAACCATTGCCACATTCTGGGGGATCAAGGAGCTATAATACAAAAATAAGTAAGCATTAAAAATGTAGCATATTAGCATGTCACCACACATGATGATAGATGGTAGATTATCATTATTTCAATGGACAGAAAAGATGTAGCTGCAATTATAGAAATGGGTGCTATACGTCTCTTTGTGTGCAAGCCCTGGTTTTCAGATTTGAATTTACTGAGGAAAAAAGTTCCAGGACCACAATCAACCACTGTCCCTGCTGTAGTGCTACTACATAAAAACATTTATATCAGGCTCAGCAGGCAGTGATATGCAAGTATATTGCAAGGATTAGAAAAACTTTTAAGAAAGAATACCAGTGACTGCCAAGTATAAAATGCAAACCGTACTTATAGTGAATTCAAGCTTTATTTTTTATACCTCTTTGTCTACCCTTGTGGTGTAAAAACCTCCTATTTCTGAGTGGAAGATTTCTACTTTGTTAGTCTGGTTTCAGGCTATTTGCTTCTGATCTTTTGAGTATTAGTCCTCACAAATTAGGAATGAGTTCTTGGCATGACAAGAGATTGCAATGAAACACAGAGAGCAGATAGCCTCAGCAAAGGGAAGCTGTCTTGAAGTTTAACCTAGCAGCCAGTGCAGATGTTGCATAATGCTGTACACATTTTTTTTAAGTGAATAGATATGTTCATCTCAAAGTAGCAGTTGTCAGACTAGAAGTTCCAAAGCAGACTAGAACTGAAAGGCAGTACACACAGGCCTTATCCACTGACCAGGGCTAGCCAGGGATTTGAAGTAGGGTGACAACTTACCATTGCTCCCCAGTGTTTCCTCTCACAAGCCCCTTCCTAGATGTTAGCAATACAGATACACCCTCTTTAACCAGTCATCCAGCCAACTACCCTAGAAACATCATTCTGTGGGGGCCTGCAGAGTTGTGCATTAAGAGATGGATACAGAGATTGCCCGTAAGGGTGGACATCAGAGCTTCTTGACCATATGGCAACCTAACATCCCCCCAGAGTGACTGGTTAGAGTGGCTAGCCACTCTAGGGAGCTGCACCAAGAGCTCCTGAAAGGCTTCATCCCCTTGTTCCTAGGAAGAATATCAACCAGGAAAGGAACTTCAACTCCCATCTCACAAAGAATACCTGTTGGAACCAAGCATGTTCAGCCTATTTAGCCTGTTAGAGAACATCTGTTCCAAATCTTGTTTCCCTCTTTTCTCCCCTTTTTTTTTTTTTTTTTTAATTTTTGGAACAGCATTCCCCTGAAGATATGGATGGCTCCTATCCTGTAGGCCTTTTGTAAAGCTCTGAAGACCTGGTTTCCCCAGGCATTTGAGCCAGGAGGTTTGGCGAGCTCTGCTGTTGATGTGGTTTTTGTGATTGGGACATATTGTTTGCCTCGGGCATCATGGGTTATTGCTTGTTTTTGTATCTTTCTAGGCCACCCAGAGTCACAGTTGTGACATGCGTGGCTATAAAAATTATTTAAATAAATAAATATTAGATTATGAGTCTGTAGACAGGAATCTATCTTTCAGAATCTATACTATGGCCCTTGATTCGGCCCACCAGATCTCATCCAAACTTTCCACTGAATAATAATTCTTAATCTTTCCAAAATTTAAATAATAAAATAAATTTAGGGTTTTGCTCTGTGACCATCTACTATTTTTGGAAAGCTATACCATTCAGAGATCAAATGCCTTTCTTGGTCAAAAGAACTTGGGCATCCTTGATTTCTACAATGCTTAGAAAAGTCAACAATAATAATAATAAACATTACTATAACAACTTCTATATGTTTACTATCAAGCATTTCAACGTAACTGTCATGAGACTGTGTTAAGAACCCAAAGAGAAAAATCTGCAAACAAATCAATTTTTATTACCTTGGAAGGCTTGTTGAAAAGGCAGACTCCGCCTCCATTGTTTAAAAATTCATGATATTCCTCAATATCACATTTGGAGAACTTGGTTGGAAGATAGTAACTGTGATCAAGAAAGAAACAAGTCAGTCCATTTCCCTCTTCCAGTTTCTACAGAATTAAAAAGTGGTTTCATTGGAAAGGACTTTTGCAGCTGGGCCACTAAGTTATTTCACGACCAAGTAAAAAACAGATGAACTATCCAAATGACTGACTTTTCTGGGGCAATAGTCTAGATAATTTTAATTACATTCCTCTTTTCTCTAGTCTCACATCTGCAAATTATATAGAATACTAAAAACATGGTTGAGCTGAATCGGAATACAGTTGCAATCTTCAATTTGGGCTTTATTAATGCTGTCATTTCCATTTCTCTAAGCTCTGTACAGAAATATTCAAAGTTATATAGCAAATACAATGTACGCTTTTACTTGCCATTAAGCTACATGAAACAGGTGTTATGAATACAAGGATCTAGTCAAACATCCTTGAGCAGGCACAAATGTTACTTTTGTAATACAGAAATCCAGATGGCAGTTTAAACTTGTGCTGTATTTTACTCTGGGAGAACTGTTAATTCTAACAACATTGGAAGCATTTTGGACACACTTGTTTCTAGGCCTGAATCCTCAGAGTCTGACAAAAATGGTGGCATGACCTTCAGCAGTTGGGGTTTTTGTGGGAAGGAACTCAGATACTGGAACCAGTATTCAGGTAATTTGCCAGCCTAGTATATTATCTTCTCAGTATCTATGATACTATTCATCAAACATTCTTATCCAGGAGACCTTTATACCTCTTCCAGATTCAGAACTATGTTGCTTCTGGAATAGCCCTGAATCTGGAAGTTTCATCAGTAAGTGTAATTAATACCTGTTGAGCAGCCTATGTGCCATAAATTTGTCTAAGTTTTTTTTTTAATTGTCTATCAGGACCCAAGCTGCAACTAACTAGAGAAGGGTAGCCAACAGATATCCCTCCAGATGATGCTGAATTACATATCCCAGATTCCTAGGAATGAGAATGCCAGGAGTTATATCTGGAGTAACATAGGTTGTTTATTCATAAGGACACAAACGTAAGCCATTTTTGGATCCTGTATCTTCTTTCCTTAGTTTAGTTAATAATCAATCAATTAACAATTAATTAGTTAATAACCAATCACTGGGATTCATAATCATTTATACAAATATGATACTGAATCTGTATATGTAAAATATTTATGTTTGTGCCTTCAAGACATTCTTGACTCCTGGAGAATTTTAGACAAGTCCACACTGTTTTCACAGCAACATATTTGTGGAAATGGTTTTTCATTGCCTTTTTCCTAGGGCTGAGAGAGAGAGTGACTGGGCCAAAATCACCCAGTTGGCTTAGTGACTAAGGTGGGACTAGAATTTATGGTTTCCAAGTTTCTAGCCGAGTGGCTTTAATCACTACACTAAACTGGCACTCGAAGCTAATAAACCATGCATTAATTGACTAATTCATACATTAGTGTCAATTGAGCAATACACATATCATTTTTCTGTTAGCAACTTTGTGTTTGTTTCTCCTTTGAATACCATAGAAAAACCACAAGTTTTCTTCCAGTAACCATCTGCTAATTTACATTTCTACTGCACAGAAATCTCTGTCTTACCCAGTGTCTCCCATTATACATCCGGACCATGTATCTTCACATTTGCATTCACCTAAAATAAACAAAACAGGCAAATCACATTTGGCAGTTTATATTGCAAGATATAGAAAAACAAGCAATTACATATCAGATATGTTAAATAAAGAAATGCATAAAAAGCTTGATTACATTTATTATATGGCACATGGAAAAAACCCACAATAATACATAACCTAAGAATTAATAAATGTCATCATGCAAGCTTGCAAAGGATAATTGTGTGAGTCTATGTTTCAACAGGAAAAGAAGCCTTGTAACCATGCAGTTATGCTATCACAAATGTGTAGTATTTAAATTTGCTGTCAGTCACTGTTTCATCATAGAGTGCCATCTATCAGGAACTAGAAAGCTTGCCTTCTGTGTCATGGCACCTGCCTTCTGGAATGAGATCCCCTGAAATCTTTATGACTCCCATCTTGTTGGCATTCCGTAAGGAATAGAAGACCTGGTTGTTCTCCCAGGCCTTGGGTTAAGATGGATGGAGCCCTTGTTGGATGTGTTTTGTCTATATTTTTGTATAGAGTGACTGGACACCATTTTGTTTTGTTTTGTATTGTGTTTTTGTAGTTTATTATATTGTGAGCTGCCCCAAGTTGGGGAAGTGTTCTTCCCCAAAATACGTTATTCAGATTTTTGTGGCAGTTTCATAGATCAATGAGCATGTCACCATCCATTTACCCACACAGCCTTTTAAGAAGTTGAAGGAATTCTGAAGGATTCCTTCCAATTTTTTCAAGGCAGAATAAAAATGATCGTCAAATTCTTTTTGCTGTTCTAAAAAAAGTGTAAATAATTTACATGGGGTCAATTTGTGAACCAACAATTGCTATGAGTCAGGCCACAGGTGATCTCAAAACTTCCTAAGAACTTTTTTCTTAACATTTTCAAACAAGCAATGCTATATTCTTATTTAATTTTTAAATGTACAAAATATTTAGATTTCCAACTTAGGGCAAATTGGAATTAATAGGTGTTAAAATTCTCAGACTGTGATACAAGTACAGTGGTACCTCGGGATACGAACGCCTCTACTAACGAACATTTCGGGTTACGACCAGCTTTGGCAGGAAAATTTTGCCTCGGGTTACGAACTCACCTCGACTTACGAACCGGATCCGCGGCCATTTTCCCTGCTGCCACGCGGCTGCGGCTTCCTGTGGGCGAGATCGCGGTAGCAAGGAGACGTTCAGTGAGGCTTGTGGTGTGTTTTGCAGTGTTTTGCGAACATTTTTGGTGTACGTGTTAGCATG